ATGATATAGATGATAAACTGTTACCAGTTTTTATGAAAAAAAAAACCGGAAATGTGATGCGAGGTATATACGTAGAATTATGTAGGCGACGTGGTCCGATAACATGGAATAAATGCGAAATAAATCGCTAATGTGTTTACTCGGATCGATACATCAATCCGAGGAAACTTTCCCCCCATTAAATCCAGCCCTTCGTCCTTCGTTTTCCCTGCCTTCATGTCTGCGTCAGATTACCATGCGCGGGCGAATGATTTATGGACCGGAGAACTTTACCAACGAGTAAATGCTAGCCGCCAATAGTATTCGGCAATAAGAGAATAAGATTCCAAAAATGAGATTCCGTACTTTTTCTAGATTAATGAAAATATATATCGTAATAAATCATGTGAAATATTTCATAAATCTGAAAAAGTCAGTTTGTTTATTGAAATAACAGAACGTGCAAAGGAAGTCGAGAAGGTTCATAATAAAACATGTGAAATATTATATTTGATCAGCTTGAAGGAAAATTGGAATCTCCCATTGGGTCCCTTTTATTATTATTTCGCCAGCGAGTTGATAACGGATATAAAAAACATTTCCGGCCGTACTTGGCGCGAATCGTGGTAATCGATAGACAGGACGGGTCGACGCGATTCGCAGCCGCGTTCAAAACGAAAATTGCAAAATTGATGGAGTGTTAGACGGGGATTGAATCCGTTGATTTCCGATAAATCCGAAGCGAAAACTGGCGGCGACGATGGTGATCTGAAACGTCAACGACGGCCGCGTTTTGGTAGCGGTCCAACGTTTCCACGTTATTTCTTTTTTTAGAAAAAGATGTGACTCGGCCTTAACCAACCGGAAGTTCGGTTTTCTAAAATCTATCCCTCGGCGAAATAATGTTTCGCTTGGGAAATCGCAGAATCTCATCTTCTAGGTAAATGCAAAATTGTTCCCATCGATTGCAAAAACGAAACTCGTGTAAAAGTTTAATTACGAATTAACCTTTCTCATTAATATTAAAAATTCATCTACCGTGAAATGGAAAACTGAGTTGCATTAATTAAATTGTAATTGATATTTTAAATATCCTATCACATTTATTAAAAAAAAAATACAGTTGCATAATTTATCAATATAAAAAATAATTATATAAAACAGTTCCTCTATAAAAACAGATGACTGTATTAAAAAAAATCAAACCCATTGAAACGAGATTAAACGATGGACGACGAGGCAGAGAAAATTGTGCTGGAGATTCCTGAAGAGGAACCAGCCGAAATAGAAAGCCCTGAAGCTTCCGAAGTCCAGTTGCCACTGGAGAATGGAAAAACAACTAACAATGGAACGAGAACGCCATCGATAAAGTCTGACAATGGGAAAAGAAGCCCATCCATAAGATCTGAGAACGGAAAGACACCGTCAGTGAAATCTGACAGTGACAAAACAGCATCAATAAAATCTGACAATGGGAAAATAAGTGGAAATGGGGTAGAAGAATTGATAGAAGAGGTCACCGATCCCTATGAAGAGAAGTCGAGGAGTCAAGAGGAGCTCCGAAAATTGGAGGAACTGAGTTTGGATGGGAAACCGACGTCGTTGGAAGAACTGGGCAGGGAGAGAGCTCAGCGAGTGAAAGCTAAGATCTATAGGCAGTGTCACAGGCGTTTCAGGGAGATAATTGGCAAGAGGGAGATGAAGAACGAGGAATTGGAGAAGCAGCAGGGCGACTTGAAGCATCGGTTGAACATGTTAGAGTGTTCGATGCCGGCCGTGATGGTCTGGAACATCTGGAGGATGTCCCAAGGCAATTGTGTGCCGAACTTAAAACGCGTGATGGAGAAACAGTTTCTGGGCCCGGCTGCCGGCGAAGTTTACTGTCCCAGCACTCCCAGCAGACACTTCGACTGCAGGGTGAGGGAGATCGAGGCTGAGAGAAAGCAGGCACAGAAACGAGTGGAGGAGGCCAGGGCTTTGTGGAGCGAGAAGACGAGTCTGTTGGAAGAAAGGAGTAAGAGATTGGAAGAAGTTAAGAGGATTCAGGAGGAGACCAAATTGAAGATCGAACAGCTGATCATTGAGGCTAAGAGGCTGAAGGAGGCAGCCAAGATAGAAGACGATGGGTCTTGCGAAACTGGTTAGAGCATTTATGGTTAGATCATTAAATTTCGTACTTGGATTCAATACGAAACACGTCTGTTCAGAAATCGAACAGTTAAGAAAATCAATTTTTTTCGTACAAGTATTAACACGATTTTTGTTATAAAAACTTGTTTTCTTAAAGACAATTTATTTTTAACATGAAATTAATTAATACTTTTCTTAATGCAATTAAATACTGGAATCAGCTGTAGATAAAACCTGGTATCGTTTTATCGAGATTAGCGTTTCTATTTAAGAGTGCGAGCCACGTTCCAGTTTCGACTGGCATTAATTAAAAAAGGTAAAAGGGAGGTCGCCGATTGAAAACCGACGCAGTAGCCTCGCCACGCCGCCACCCGCCGCACGCAATCGATACGGCCAAGTTGAAATGGGACATGATTTGTACTCGCCTCGTCTTTGAATAGAAACTATAACTCTGCCGCAATGGAACTTGAAAACGTCCGTCTGAATCTACCATCGAATCCCACTGTTCTATTAGTGACCGAGTCTAATAAAATTGCTTCATTTAAATGGCACACATTAATTCACACAAATGATAATTCATAATTTCACACGAGAATAAAATAAGTAGAAAATAAAAACCATTAAAAATGAGTTTTGCCTGAAAACTGGGTGCAGGCGAGTGCGGGGTGATACAGTGCAAGAAAAAATGGCTGGAGAAGGTGCCCAGCAATGCTTCTATAAAATCGGCGGACATCGTGTGCCTGGACAAGCTCCAAGAGCTCGCGCAGAACGAGTACTGTATCAAAAGGCATATCGCCGATCTCGAGAGCCGCGAGGAGGCTTACATGAGGACGTTACAGCAAGCGGATGAACTCTGGTGCAAATTGGAATCAGACGCGGCCAGCACTGTGAGCGCGTTGCAGGAACAGCTGGACATGAAAACGGCTGCGAATCAACAGATGGCTGACAGGATTGTAGCCCTGGAGGATGTGATAGAACAGTTGAGAGCTAGGCTAGGCCTTTGCACTGGAGAGTTAGAGAAATATATGAGCAAGAGCAAGATTGATGCTCTCATAGGTAATACTCATGTTTCCCATCACAAATCTAATCAGATTCAAATCCTCAAATAATGTCTTACTCTCATATCGTAATTTTTATCCATTTATTAATTCAAATGAAATCAGAAACATCAGAGAATGATGACAAATACTTAATGCACCTGATACATCCTACGAATACTCGAATTTAAATAAAAATAAATATATTCTAATCTCTAATCCCAAATCCTGTTAGGGAGAGACGACGATTTCGCTGAGATGTTGGATAAAGCGCTGCGAGCAGCTCCGGATGCGCGAGACAAGATGGTAGGCATAGAGAGAGAGATGATGGACAGAGATATGCTGGCCAAGATGGACATGAGCGACGCGAAACTGGGCATCCATCCTGAAGACTTCGCCTATGAGGATGAGAGGCTTCAGGAAGCCAGAGCTTATCTAGAGAAGCTCGGATTCTCACTTTCAGAACTGGACAAATATCCTGATGACTTAGTCTGCGCGGCAGACTTCGCTTGCAACGATTTGGTATTCACTGAGACCGGATTGACCGAAGAGGAGATGCAGGCTTTGAAGGAGGGACGTGTCACTGCGAAGATGTTGTTAGAACAGTGTGGAGTGTCGGTCGATTTGGAGCTGGAGCAAGAAGCTGCTGGGGTGGAGAGGATTGAGAGGACAGTGAGGTCAGAAATGTACGAGATGGAAGAAACGAGGGAAGCGGTTGGAATGATGAAGGAACGTGAGATGATGATTGAAAAGAGTGTAGAGGAAATCGGGGTGGGAGATCAGGAAGATGATGTACCTGCGGACGATACTACGACTTATGAGGATACTACTGATATGGAAGATTTCGTGGATGCACCAGCGTACACCGAGACGAGAGTTCATAAACGTGATGTAGACGAAGGAGAAGATCTCTCGGCAATGGAAGTGACGACTGAACCGAGTCTTGAATTTCCTTCAGAGGAAGTTGTTCATGACGAGTCAGTGGTCGTTCCGAGGACTGAAATGTTGGACTGGCAGGATGACGTTGATACTATTCGATCTACCATTGCGGTACGATTCGTGATAGAATATCTTATAAAAATAATTGTTAGGGACAGGGTTCTGATTTGTTCGATGTATTTGGTAATACAGGAGTGCCCTGATTGCATTGTCGTGAAGAAGGATGCCGACGAACTGGCTGTCAAGATGGCTCGTTACACCGGCGTTAGTATCGAAGATCAAACTATTGTATAATTAAACAGACACATGCATTACACAAAAGTGATAGAATTACTATATTTTGCGTAATCAGAAATCGAGATAGAGAGAGTTCCATTTCGCAAAAATGCAAATCACTATTCCAGACGGAAGTGACAGAAATAGCCGACAGTCCTCGCGAAATCCTTGCACCGTCTGAAATTCCCAAACCCGAGGTGCCAGTCGCGGTTGAGGCTAAACCCGAAGTTGTAGAAGCCGAAGTAACAGTCGCACCGTCGGTTGAGGAAAAAATAGTTGAGGCTAAAGTTGCAGAACCTGATGTGAAAGTGGAACCAGAAGAGCCCCCTGAGGTACTGGAACCACCTGCAGTGGCTCCAGTTGAGGCACCGCCACCCACGGCACCTCCAGTTGTAACACCGCCACCTGCAGTGGCTCCAGCTGAGGCACCACCTCCTCCTAAGGCACCTCCAGCTGCAGCACCACCGCCCACAGTACCTTCAGCTGAGGCACCATCTCCTACGGCACCTCCAGCTGTAGCACCACCACCTGCAATGGCTCCAGCTGTAGCACCACCACCTGCAATGGCTCCAGCTGTAGCACCACCACCTGCAGTGGCTCCAGCTGAGGCACCAGTTCCTCCTAAGGCACCTCCAGCTGTAACACCACCGCCTACAGTACCTCCAGCTGTAACACCACCACCTGCAGTACCTCCAGCTGAGGCACCATCTCCTACGGCACCTCCAGCTGTAACACCACCACCTGCAGTGGCTCCAGCTGAGGCACCACCTCCTACAATCCCTCCAGCTGTAACACCATCACCCACAGCACCTCCAGCTGAGGTACCATCTCCTACAGCACCACCAGCTGAGGCGCCGCCACCTACGGCACCTCCAGCTGAAGCACCACCACCTGGGGTACCACCAGGTGAAGCACCAGCAGTCGTAGGAATACCAACAGAAGAAGAGAAGGCACCAACAGAAGAAGAGAAGCCACCAACAGAAATTCCAAAACTACCAGAGGAAGTGGAAGCATTGCCACCAGAAGAAGTAGAAGTGAAAACAGAAAAAGTGGAAGAGGTACTACCAGAAGAGATGAAGGAAGAAGTTCCTGAAGTAGAAGCACCGTCACCTCCACTAGAAGAAGAGGTTGCGATACCTGTGAAAGAGGAAGTGCCAGTGGATGTTGAAGGAGAGCCAGTTGATGTTGCAGTAGTGCCTCCTGAAGAGGTACCACTTGTGGAAGAGCCACCTGAAGTACCAGTTGAAGAATTGCCACCTGAAGTACCAGTTGAAGAATTGCCACCTGAAGTGCCAGTTGAAGAATTGCCACCTGAAGAAGTTCCGGTCGAAGTACCAGTCGAAGTATTACCTCCTGAAGAAGTCCCAGTTGAAGAATTACCACCTGAAGAGGTACCAGTTGAGGTACCAGTCGAGGAAGTGCCTCCAGAGGTACCAGTCGAGGAAATGCCTCCAGAAGTGCCTCCAGAAATACCAGTCGAAGAAATGCCTCCAGAAGTGCCCGAAGTGCCTCCAGAGGTACCAGAAATACCTCCAGAAGAAGAGGAAGAAATAGTGATACCTTGCCTTTGCATTCCCCCCGTTGTTAGTATATCCAAATATCTAATCCACACAATAATCCTACATCAAATTTTTCTAAATCATTTCCAATTTCCCAAATCTGTAAAAAATTAATTCATCAACTTAATTTCTTTTAATACCAAACCATCCAATTAAAATTCCAAACATCCATTGCTTCCCCTGTGCATCAGATTAAAAATCGAAGTATTTCTCAATCGATTTAATTGAATTAAAGTTACAACTTTTATAATCACCGTCAGATTAAAAATCCAAACATTTTTTAATCAATTTAATTAAATCAAAGTTACACCTAAACCTTTATCATCAGCCTCCCATAACAAAAATGGAGATCACGCAAACGGAGATAACGAGAATCGAAACAGTCCAAGTGGTCACGCAAACGGTAGTCGACGTCGATACACAGACTAGCCCCAGAATAACCAGACACGTTCAGCCACCAGTAACGACCATAACTAAAGTAGTGGACCCTGACTCCGAGACCGTGCAACGGTTACTAGCCTTCGCTAAACCATTACGTGAACAACAGCCAACGGCAATGACGTACACAGAGAGTGCTCACTCGCACGTGACCACGTCCTTCCAAATGAGAACAAGCACTCCAGCCCCGGACTCCCTCGCCGCAATCTTGCACGCTCTGAAACCCGAAGCCTCTATGAGAGGCCCTGAACAAGAAATCAGATCAACTTACTATGGAAAGCCTGATAGGAAGCCCGGAGACTCTGAAGACGGCAAGTGCAACTGTTGTCAATGTGGCAAAGCGATGTCCAGATCTCCGTCACAGCCACCTTCCATGTTCAAAAGCCCTTCAAAAAAATCGTCAAGAAAATTCGCAACTCCGAGTAGAGATCCAGTCATGACAATCGACTGCACCTGCGCTGATTGCAAACTGCAGAAACTGCAGGAGACTCTCAGATCTCACGATCCTTTAAAGGAGCGATCGCATAAGCCAAAAAAGGATCAGAAAACCGGTGCCTCCATCCACGAGCTTGTCAAGTCTCAGTCTCGGAAGGAAAAAGGGAAAAAAATCGATCAGAGTTGCATGGCGAAAATTGCCAGGGCCAAAGCGAAGGAACAAAAGTCGAAAAAGTGTGAGGATAAAATTAGAGAAGAAGTGATTGACTCCGCTGGATGTGCTTGCAGCGGTATGATAGAAGTACCCGGTAAACCCGGCAAGTTCAAGCGAGTGCACTGTGCTTGCGGTGATCCTGATTGATCCTGTTGATATCCTCGAACAAACGTTACAACGCCTTATCGCTTGGGAACTTACATGTTCCCCTTATCTTATATACGAGCCGGTGAAAAGTTTCAGATACCGTCCGAAACCGCATGCATCATCCGCTGTTTTTCAATGAATTTATGTCCGTCGGGAGTCGGAAACTTCTACACGTGTGTCTCCTTATCGGTTTTTCATGTATCGGTGCCTCGTAAGGAAAGTAGTCTCGTGCTGTTTTACGTATACTTCTGACGTCCGGATAGAATTTCCTGAGAAAGCCCTCTCTCTGGTTTAATGCTTGGAAATCTACTGACTCGTGCGAAATTCGTAAAGAAGAACTATACTTCGTACGATTAATTTCTATTTGAAGAAATACTGATCGAATTATTAGAGTCATGAAAATCAAAAGGTTCGACGAAATCCTGTATTTAAAGGAAATAAGACTTCCGATTGAACGAGGAAGTGGAGACTCGTAGACGACAAAAGGAAACTGTATGTAATTCTCAACAATGCACGATCGGTTCAATGGGCAACTCTTTTTAGAATCAATAGCCGGGAGGGGTCGGGGTGATACCATTGTGCCGATGGCCCTTTCATGCGTAATAGGATCAGTCGTCAGCATGAAATTAAATTTCAGCTTACACTGTAATGGCCAAAGGGGAAAACGTCCCGTGTACATATAGTATTGTCTCGTGGAAAACATAAATTCGTGGCTCCGCTAATAAAACCTGTTAATCTGTCAGAAACCGTATCTCCTTGTTTCATTTACGGCCGCGTCGCTTACGTTCTGATTTATCAATTCATAAATCATCGCACGATTTTCATGCGAAATGAAAAACAATTCTTCAATTTAAAAATTGATTTATAATTGAATTGATTATAATTGATTTGATCGCGTGATTTATATAACAATTTTTGTATAAACGCAAATCGTCTGGAATCTGATTATCAGTGAAATTAAATCTAAAATACTGTTACAATTTTTATTTGTTACACGAATGAATAATTGATAATTGATAATGTATATTAAATTAATTAAATACT